CGCCCATCCTGGACATCTGCTAGTCCCAGATACTTCCCATCCCCAGGTCCGGTTTTTTCATCCTGTTTTTCTTACACTTTTTGTACTAAGGTCCTAAGGACCTAAACTTATGTCAACTACAAGGGTTTATCTTCAAGCATCTCAGGTATTTTCCATTACACAGCCATCAAACTTAATGTTACTTAGAACTGATTTCATTCTGCACTTTTGTGCCTCCTTGTCTTAGTGTTTGGAAAAGTTGAACAGCAAGGGAAATCAAACAGAAGAAGTAAGAAAGAATGTAGAAAAATAAATATGCAGTTCAGGACAATTCCAGTCACGGAATTCATTATTCAAATTGTCAAGATCCAGAACAGACATGCTGACCCAACTTTAATGATGTAAAAGTGAAAGCTCTTTGGCTAGGTTCAGTTGTCTAAACCTAAGCAAGTGGTGCTCTCTGAGAAGACCAGGGAATCCTGCCTTGCCTCACTTGGCCACTCTGGAAGGGGACAGATTTATCCCAGGTCTTGTGTTGGACCTGCCAGGCCATGCAGATGTCTAGGGGCCCTAAGGTGCCTGGATGTGTACACGCAAAGAAATGGGGAAACTGGGCTGAACCCATCCTTCAGGGTTCCTGTGCAGCAGCGCAGAGGTGTATGTGCTTTCAACACTTGGCACCAGAGATGGGGGAGGAATCTCTCCTCCAATGTGCATTTCTCTTTCCAGGTGCTGTAGAAAGATCCCTGAATATTAACTTACACTGTACATGTCCCTCTCAGAAACTGAAGCAGTTACTCCCTTTGTTAGCCACACAAATGTACCCCCCCTCAGTATCTCACTTTTGGGTCTTTGTAGACTCAGTAGGAAACAAAGGGTCCAGAAATACCACACCACCAACCTCCTTATGATAGGCAATGACTTTGGGCTCTAGGACATTGCTCAGTTGGTGGCCTGGTCCAGCCTTGCAGCTCTGACATCCCATGGCCAACTCAGCTTCCTTAGGGGACTAAAGTCGTGACAAGCAGTGAACGGCTGCAGAGCAGATGGAGAAACGCCCCTAGAGAGGCGTCTTTCCCAGACCGCAGCCCACTGGGGCATTTGCCCCAGGGACTGCTCTTCCCCCACCACAATGCTTCTGGGGTGTGAAATGTCATGATAAAGGTCTGGTATTGTCTTTTTAATCTTACTCTTGTTCGCAGCCCCCGAGGGAGCGGTAGCACATTACAACTGCCTTTCCTCATTCTTCTGTCATCTCTCCGTGTTTCCATGGCATGCTCACCCTGAGGCTGTCAGACCCAGCTGCCAGCCCCGTGGGCATCTCCACCTGGCTAAAGATAAGGAGCAATTGGGGAGAGGTTATTTTCAGAGGGGGAGACATTTGGATTTTACAGGGAAAGGGCATGCACAGGGAACGGTAGGATCAGCTCTGTTCAAAGTCTGAAAATGCTTGCAGAGAGCAGCAGCAAGGCAGGGAAGAGGTGAGGGAGGACAGGCTGAGCTTTGACTGTGCAGAAGTTGGCTGGCAGGTCTCTATGTAGTTATGCAGCTGCAAGCCAGCCTGGTTCCACGTAGCTGGCATGTGCAAACAAAACATACTGGAGTCCACTAATGTCAGTTCTCTGTGTGCTATGCCGTTTCCAAGTCGCTGATCCTTTCCATCAGCAAGCACCACAGACAGCGCCACGTTTCAGGAACGACTGCCACTGTGACATCTGGTCCAAAGGCAATTCTTGTGAATTCTTGAATTTCCTTCATGAAGTGAATGCTTGTTGTTTCCTTCACAAAGTGGCTGTCACTTTTCCTTTATCTGCATTTGGGAAGACTTGTCTCATGGAGTGAGAACAGGCTGCCCAGGGAGGTTGTGGAATCTCCTTCTTTGGAGACATTCAAGACCCGCCTGGACACGTTCCTGTGTAACCTTATCTAGGTGTTCCTGCTCCGGCAGGGGGATTGGACTAGATGATCTTTTGAGGTCCCTTCCAATCTCTAACCTACTGTGATACTGTGATACTGTGAGTGTATTCAGCAACCAAGAGGCACAGAGCGTTCCTAACAGCCTCAAGAAACACTGCTTTCCAGACCCAGGGCTGCTTCTTGACATGAATATGTCTCTGGCTCTTCTGAAATCAGAAAGATGTGGATCCAAACCCTCACCCTTGCAAAACAGACTGAGAAGGGAACCCAAGTCCATCAATATGCCAAGAGACTGCTCCATCCACTGGAGTATTACGATAAAAGTGGGTAGCATCCCTAAACCACTGCAGGTGGAGAAACCCAGACATGCAAGTGTGGATGAAATATGCTCCAACAACCTAACAAAACATCTCTGGGGATCCAGAGGCTCAGCAGGCTCAGGAGTCCAGGTGGACTTAAGTTCTCCCACAGGACTGATGGGGGAACATGCAGGAGCAGACCCAATCTTTTGGGCAATGGAAACAAAGTACCTCCAGAGCATTTTTGCATTCATCATTAGAGGGCAGCCTAAGCAGAGCTGGGGTGCTTGGCAGCACAGTGTTTGACTAATGTCAGCAAACATCATGCTTCAAGCTCAGAGATGTCATTGAATCTCGTCCCCAACTGTGAATCTCTTCCAGGTCCTGCTCTGCTGCTTCCTCCACCAGATGCTGACATATTGGTGCATTACTTATCCTGCACACTTTCTGTGTTCTACAGGAATTCACTACCAGTATCAGAAGCAAAAATAAAGATAACAAAAAATGATCTGCTACAAGAAGTATTTTAGCTTTGCAGGTGCAAACCCATGGCAGAAATGAATAAATAAGGGGAATCTTCTGACGGTGCTCTTCTCCTGCACATGTGCTTGCATCTGCATTTTTGCTTGAAGCCTTGTCATCTTCACAAAATATTTCACTATGTTCAAAAGCATAATTTTTAAAGGGCTCTCAAGAATAAGAAACAACCCGTGGGTTTTTATTCCTCTGCTGCACCAAGAATCATTCGCTTGTCAGAAGCCGCACTGCTCTCCGGATCAGCTGGTTCTGCAAACAGAGAAAAAACATATCACACGCGCACAGAAAATCCCCGAGTCACCTCTCTATATTCTGATTGATCTTCTCCATGTTGAAGCAGGGAGAAGCTGGGGGCCTTGGATGGGCCTTGCTGCTCAAGAATTTATGCCATCAGGCATAGGTAGCAGGAAATAAAGCTTAGGAATATAATGATCTAATAAAATGTTTACCAAGTGCCACTACTGCTCCTACCCAAGTGGTGCCTCAACAGACCATGCCGAGATGGTGCACATCCTCTTTCCAAGCCCTGTTGAGGTCCAGGTGGGTATAAGGGACTTACACAAACTGAGCAGTTGTTACCTTACACCGCCACTTACATGTTATCATGAAGTCTGTGCCTGTCACAGGCACTGGCCCAGTACTGTGGCGTTTGGTTAATATGGGCTGGTGCACTTAAGACAAACCTCTGTTTCATCTCCTGACCCTCTGCAGTAGCTTACTTCATCACAGGCATCTACAGTCCCACAGACACCTGTACTGGCATTCCTCTCACCTAACTATAGGTAACTGCTGTGTACGTTTCTACATCTAAGCTTGATAGCAGGGCTTCCAGGAGAGTTCAAGGGTCTACAGTCATGGACTGAAGCCTGTAGGTTGCGTGGTCCACACAGACAGTAAAGTCAACAGCACAGTCTCTTAACAGCCACATACGGTTGGATGACTATAGTCCTTTGGCTTCAATGTGACACGGTGTTAAGATTTTATTCTGTTGACTTCTGAAGCCACGGGAGTTGAACCCTAGCCTCAGAAGTCCACACACCCTATTTCTGGTGGGAGTTAGCTCTCCTATGCTCTTTGAGGCACCAAATCTCCACAGTCCTGGCTGGCCCCAACTAACTGTTGTCATGGTTTATTGATGAATTAAGGGCTAGGTATGGTCTAAGTTGGGTGCCAGAAGCAGTACAGCCACACACGTTGCCTTCCTTACCGTAAACACCAAGGAAGCCAACTCCAGCATGAAGCCCTGAAGCCCCTTCCTGCCCTGTGCTCTTTACCAATACCACTGCAGTACTCACAATCAGAAAAGAAGGGCAACAGTATGGGCAAGTTCCCTGCTTTTAGCAGGGAAGAGGGCAGAGCAATGTACAGGAAGCTGAGAGCTGTCCCTCACTGTGTGCTGCTGCCACCACTCTTCCCACCCAGGTGCCAATTTGCTACCACCTTCAGCAGCAACTGAGCATCTTACTCCTCCTGCTGCACTGCCCAGCTCCCCCAGCCCCGCTCTGGGGCCACAGGCTCCCCTAGCAGGGGCCATGGGGGCCACACAGGGCTCGTGGAGGTGCCAGGGGGAGCGCAACAGCTCAGGGTGCTCAGACCCTGGGGATGAGGAGCAATGGGGTGGCCAGGGGCTGTTTTCAGCTCCTTCAGTGACATGTGGCCACAGGCCAAGGGCAGATCCCAAGCCAGGGTCCCCCCCACTCAGGCCACACAGGCGCTTTGCTGAGCGTCACCTTTTGTTGCTGCTGCCGGGAGCTACTTCCTTGCCATCTGGGGTGCCGGGATGCTGGGATTCAGCCAGTGAACCCCAGTCCTGCCCGGCTGCCCGGTTACTGCATACATCCTGCGGGGCTGGAGGGGCAGGTGGGGCTGGTGTACTTGGTGAAGATGGCTGTGGGATGAGGCTGACCTGTCTTCCAGTGGGCCAGTGGTGCCAGGGGCTGAGGGGCAGGGGTCAGCCTGGCTGACAGCCTGACAGCCTGGATGTCCTAGCCCAACTGCTCTATCTTGTCGTGCTGGGGAGGAGAGAACAGGTTGGCTAAAGCACGGGGCTGAATTCAGCATCGCCAAGCAACCCTGTATACCCATCTCTCCTGGGGAAACTGAGGCATGGATCCCCCCGCCCAGATGCTCAGCATTGCCCTCCCAACCTCAGTCACCCCCGCCAAATCCCTTCTTTCTTCATCCCTACCTTGCTGGGGAGCAGGGTGGAGGGCTGGACTGCCTGGGGGGCGCTGGGCTGGAGAAGCTGGAGGTGCAGGCTGCACCCTCTCCTGTCCTTTTACCCCAGTGGCAGGCTGAGTTGGTTGCTGAGGTCTGTTTGCCAGCTGGCTCTGGCCGCCTCCAGTTTGCCAAGGGCACTCTCCAGCTTTCTGATCTGGGAACAGCAGTGGGGGCAGAGTCAGGGCATGGCCCCTCTGTCATCCCAGCACAGAGGCTCATCAGCTGCCTCCTCCGTGCCCAACTCTCGCAGCATCCCTGCATCTCCCTCAGGGACTCCTTACCTTTCCCTTCTCGCCCTGCAGGTCCCTGGCCACACCCTGCAGGTCCCTGGACAAGCCCTGCAGGTCACTGGCCAGGCCCTGCAGGGATGACACCTGGGCCTGGAGGTCACCCAGCATGTTGGCAACGCTCTCCTGGCCTAGAAGAACGTGGTACAAGGGGACACACTGTCAGTGAAGGGGTCTCACTCTACTGGCCAGGCTGTGAGCACAACGATCTCCAGACCCAGCATTTCAAACACCCCCCCCCAAGCCTCCCAGAGCTCCCACCTCCTTCCTGGAGGAGCAGGTGCAGCTTCTCCAGTCCAGTCTGGTCCAATGTGGTGGCTTCTAGCTGGGCTACCTGCTCCTTCAGGGCAGCATAGAGGTGTCTGAGCTGCCCAATCTGCTTGAGAGTCTCCACCGTCTCCTCATAGCAATTGTAGGCATTGTGGTAGGCACTGCTGGGCAAGGCCAGCTCTTGCAAGTGGGACGTGGCCCTGGGATCAATGTCGAGCGGGATCTCGAATCCCTGGGCTGTTGGCAAGAGAGTCCCTGCTGCCAGGGGCCTGCCTGGTGAAGCGGTGTGCTGAGCCGCTCCCGTGAGATGGTGGTCTGAGTGACGGTGGGCTCTGGCTGCATCCCCAGGGTGGTGGTCTGGGTGCCCGTGGACTCTGGCTGTGCTGGCTGTGTCCCCAAGCTGGTGGCCTGTGCATCCTGAGACACTGTCTGCATCATCGCTGTGGTGCTAGCATCCATCCTCTGATCTGAGGGAACGCTTACCTGCTGCTTAGGGGCTGTTAGATCTGTCCCTGGACCCTTCAGCCCCACCAAGCTGTCTCTAGATCCCAGCACTGAGGTTGCCCCATGTGGGCTGTCCATATCTGAAGTGCACTGGTCTCCTTCTTGTTCTCCTCTGGGTCTTCCTCCATCTCTTCCTTGGTCTCCTTTGCTGCCCACAGCAGGACGTCCCAGTGCACCATGTTGGTCACCTTGTCCGGGTCTGGGTACAGGCCCAGCCTTTCCTTCAGCATTTGCTGGGGAAGGAAGGGATCAATGGCTTACCCCTGACATGCAGCCAGGGGCATGGCGGGACCCACAGGAGCACTCCCCCTCACAGCCAGCACCTCTGGGGAACATGCCCTAATGCAGATACTGCCTGCATTAGTCCCCTAGGGATGCAGCCGCCTCCTGCCTCGTAGCAGGATCCGGCGTGCTCGTAACCATACCACATCACTGGCCAGAGTCCTTAGGTTGCAGAGGCCTGGCAGCTGGCCAGCAGCATCCCAGAGATTCCCCTAGAGTGGGGTGAGGATAGGGATTGCACTCAGCACACAGGAGCAGGACTGAGCAGAAGCACCTGCAAATTAACTTGGGCACTAGACAGATGGATGCTGGGCAGGCTTGTGCTTGGGGGCTGCTGCTGTATTGCACCAGCAGATCTTGACCCTCCATCCCAGAACCCATGCTAATTTAATGGGCGTTTAGTTAAGAAGTGCCTTAGCACCACTTGGGTGGACACACACAGTTACCTCTACCAGCAGCTTGAGCTGCAGGCAGTGCTGCCCATTTCTGCCCTCCCCGGGGCTCCAGGTAGTGCGGGCGAGCTCCCATGCTTCCCTCTGGGGACACCCTTCCCACTCTTCCCTCCCAGTGCCCTTCACACTGGGTGACACTCAAGGCCAGAAGACAGGGTCAGCAGGGAGATGTGGGGTGATGCAGGCAGGGCAACAAGAGGCCAGCTCACTCCTTGGGACACCAGCAGCAGCTCACCAAGCCAAGCGCCTCCTGCATCATGCGGATTTCTTCTTGCATGTGGGACTGCACCTCCTTCACCTGGCTAATCTCCTCAAGGAGATCCTGGTAGACAGACGTGTCCTAGGAGAGGAAGGTGGCAGGCATGAGCCCCACGGGAGGGTCCCTGCAGACCAGGAACTTGGTCGCCACCCTGCCCCAGTGAAAGCCATCACACAAAGCCATGTCAGCAGGGCTGGATCCAGCCCTGCCTGCCCGTGATGAGCTCTGGGCAGGAGCGCTGAAACTGATGCCAAGGGCAAAGAGCCACCCCTGGAGGAGGAGGTGCCTCAGTGGGGGAGCACCCAGGGGACTGGGGAGACCCTCTACCTTGGAGCTGCTGCTCTTGTCAGTTTCCACCTTCTCCACCAGCTGCGCCTCGTCGGCAGCCACATCAGCTTCGGAGCCGCTGGTGGTGTCCTGCAGCGGGTCCTTCGCAGGCAGCTGCTCACCCAGCTGCAGGGCCTGGTGCGCTGCGGCCAGGGTCATTGCCCTGTCCTGCTCCACAGGCTGCTCCAAGCTTCGAGTGGAGCGGTCCTGAAGGCCCAGGTGCCCCAGCGTGGCCTGCAGCAGGTTGCACAGCGCCCGGAAGTTCACGGCCTCAACATCAGACGTCCCAAAGGCGGTGTCCAGCAGCTGGGTCAAGCTGAGTAGAGCCATTGCTGCTGCTATGGCCGACAACACGAGTCTGACCTGCTGGCGGTAGGAGAGACAGCGGGCAGCGGGCAGCCTTCCTCCTGCTCACCCTCCCTCAGGGATGTCGCAGCCCCTTCCCTGCCACATCTACGCCCTCCAGCCCTACTGCCGGCCCCCCTGACCCCCGTTCCCTGCGCCCCCTGGCCCCATACCTGCAGCAGCTGACCCTGCCCTACTCCCTGCCCTCTTTACCGACCACCACCAGCTGCTCTTCAGTGTTCCTCAATGCCCGTTGTCCGAGCCCGTTCTGGAACTCACAGAGGGCGACACTGCGAAAACCCCGCTTCTGCCAGCCCGTGCCCAGGGAACCTTAGCGCTCTGGAAAGGCAAGCTGTCCTGCCGAGATGGCAGAGCTATGTGGCAAAAGCAGCACAGGTTTTACTCTCTCCCTTAGGCGTGGTCATACTGGGGGAAAGGCTGCTGCTGACAGTATCACCACACACATTTTGAGCATCTCACTCCAGAGCAAAGAGCTGCACAACCAGGTAAAAGCAGCACAGACAGACACAAGCTTCCATACAACCTGAGGAAGGAGAGGACTCCAAAACACCTTGGAAGCAGTCACACATCAGACAAGTAGTGACAGAACATCTTTTCTCGCAGAAACCTCCTGGTCCGACCATGCCAGAGAACTGACGCCTCCTTCCTGTGGTGAGGCACTCGGAGAATGAGGGTAGGCAAGCCAGAGGCAGAACAGATTCTTTGCTCTTTTCAAAGAGATGAGAGATTCATTTTCAGTCATTAAAGAGAGATTTGCCCTTGTAGTCTTCTTTCCCAAGCTGGGAGGATTGAATTCCAAGAGGGAGTAGGCATAAAAAGTTGGAGACAAGATGCACGGGGGAGGTAGCTCACCCTCTTACAAGGGATCCTACGCCTTCACTTCAGGAACTGGCAGAGCTTTAGGCTCAGGAGCTCCACAGACATCCCCAGGGACTAGTCATGCTTTCTAGACAGCCCTTGGGGCTGGCAGAAGCTGCAAGACCCCTAAACCAGCATGGGGCCACCCCAGCACAGTGAGGCAGCAACAGCAAGGGAAGGACCTTTGGGCAGAAGAGAAAGCACTGAGGTTCACTGCTGACAGGGTGGCAACCAAGGCCCATGCTGTGTCAGGGCAGGCAGATGCTGTGTCCTTGCATCCACCAGCCCCAACTCACTGTCTCCCCATAACCTTTGGGACCCGGTGAATGCAGAGTGCCAGTTTTCCTAAAGCAGGTAGAGATTTTGAGTCATCTCCTGACTTCAGTTAACCAACTGCTTCTGGCTTCTAGTCAGGGTAAGGTGTGAAGCAAAGCCTGAGGAGAACTCATACTGTGGTGCTGACTATGACCCAGGGGCCACCAGCTCAACCCTCTGGTCACTGGGGCTGCAATTCCACAGTTACTACCCAAACACAGCCTAGTAAAAGCAAGCCCAAGTGGCGCAATAGCAGGCAACAAGCCCTGGCCTTACTTCTGCCAGGTCTGTCAAGCAGTTGGGAGAAAAAAGCAGTGCTGCTCGCATCTTGAACACCGGCTTCCAGGATGAAAAGCATGGTCCAGTATTAGTTCAGAACAAGGGGGCTTGAACACCTCTGCAAGAACCTCATGCACTCCAGTGGGTGCATTCCATAACCCTCTCAGCACTCCCTGACCATGCCCTGCAGGTCCCTGGACCAAGTGATTTTTTTCAATTGAGACACAGTGTCTTTTGTCAGGACATCTTCCAAATGTTTAATTTTTCCTTCATCAGGCAGGATAAACAACGCTGTAACATCTCCCTTGTAAGGAATCTGCACCACCTCGCAAGAGAGCTTCCTGTCAGATTATGCTTTATAAAATCCATCTTGAGTCATCATCTTCACTTCAGCTGAGGTCTTCTCATTCACATGGAAATAATCTTTGTGATTCCCCTTAATATTGAAAGGATTTTCCCAGTAGGCTTAAACCCTAAAGAGAAAGAATGCAATCGAATGCTTGTTTCAAGGATACAGTAATACGGTACAGTGATGTGCACAAGATAAACCCATATAGACGAACATATATTTGAAGATTCACACTCATATTTGAAGTATTCCAAATTTATTAAAGATCTTGTTATTTCTTATCTTTGCTGTACTGTGCTGAGTAAAAACTAAATATCCCAGGTTAAATTATGTATAGACTTGTACAAGAAATTTTTATGTTGGATAAATTAAAGGAAGTAACTTCATCATATTACCTTATATTTTATTTGAAGAAAATGAAAGCTGATCAGGATCCAATGAGTGCCTTTCTGGTTTCAGAATATTGTTTGTAAAAGAAATTCCACAGCAGATGTCTGCCTTTTAAAAGATAGCATGTTAAGCTCCTTATATATGCTTTTTCATATGTTCTTCATCTTGTAGCACTAAAGAAAAGCTTACGTGCAAGAATAACCTGAACTTTTGGGTTCATAACTGATGATAACTGCATTATGTTAAATGGAATAAGGCTTCAAGGGCTTTAATCTTCAAAATGATTTTTTTCTTGATGTTTGTTCAACTGAATTTTCTATGATATTTTATTTTGTATTAAACCAGTTCATTCACTGAACAAATACAGTGGGATCACCACTTGCCATTCTGTAAGTATGTTCTCTTTTTTTTAATGTTGAATAGAAATAAAATAAAATTGGAAAATAAATAATGGAATAAACTCCACAGTAGTCTGCTTACTTTATAAGTTTGAGCTTTCCTCCTGCTTGCCCTGTAAAAATATATACTCTGTTATCATAAAGAAATGCCTCAGACCAGGGCACCTAAGATTAAGGGATCCGGTTTAACAAAGTACTTGAAATAAAATTTGTTTTACTGAAAGTTTGTTGATTTCCAAACATGTTTTTCTGAGAGGTAGATTCCAGGCTATGTCCTGCGTGCTGCTACTAACAAATATGATGTGTAAGAGGAAGTTAACTATTGCCATAGCAATGTGTTCACAAGTTCTGTTGTGCTCTAGCAATTCCCTAAAATCTGAAGGTTGCAAATGAGTGAAATTTTATGTGTAGGAGCATAAACATATGGTAAGAAAACACATATGTAGAAGACATTTCAAAGCATGAGAAATTTCAATGTTTCTTATAACTTCTAAACATAATTCAGAAATAATGTGGAGTATTTGTTTTAGTGCAGTTGAAACTGAGGTATTGCTGTAACATCTATGTAACTTACCTTTGAAATAATTGTAGTTAACAATTACCAGTAGAGTGTTTGGATCAAGATCTTTAAGTATTTAGTTTATATTCACATGGCTTTTGTTCTTTATGTGACCATTGATATCTTTTTTAGCTTCAGTGGAATTCTGGAAGTTACAGGAAACCACTTCTCCTTTGTACAGTTTTTTCACATCCTTCAGAAATGCTTTTAGTGGCTTTAGATGTTTGTCCATGAATAGGGTGTTCCTTGTGCTCAGCTGCACCTGGCTGGCAGGGCGGTCCAGAAAGAGGAGGAGATCATGAAAGCCCTTCTGTATCTCCTCCTCCTGGGTGCTGCTGAGGTTAAAGGCAAGCCCCTTCCAGCACCTGAGCCCAGCTGGTGGCTCCGTATCCTAGAGCTAGCAGGGCAAAGGCAGTAGCGATGCTGACTGGAGAAAAGAAAATCTTCTTGCCAGGTTTCTGGATGGCTGCTTCCCTGTAAAACTTGAAGGGAAAGTCTGTGTTGCTGGGGGCTCTCTGTTGGCAGGACTCGAGAATCTCTCTCACAAGGGTGCTCTTCCTGGCAGTCAGTTGCCTTGGGCTCTTCATTGTGGTGGTCAGGCTGTGGACAGTGATGCGAAGCATGGCTGCCAGCAAGCACAGCAGGAGGGTGGCCTTCATCATCCTCCACAGCTACTGCATAGAAAAAGGATGAAATGTTATTGGATGCTGGAGGTCAGCTTTGTCAACATCTCATCTTTCATTTCTATCTGCATCTATTTTCAACAACTATCTGATAGTCACTGTTATATCCTGACCTGCTCCTTTATAATGGAAGTGGTTTTTAAATCCTTGTGCTTTTAGCTATAATCCTTTTCATCGCAGCCTACCTGTGTTCTGCTTTCTCCAGCTACAAAAGTCCTTTGTTACTGCAGGAAGAAACATATGGTGAAAGAAACATGAGTATTCGTTGTGGTTTAAGCTCAGCTGTAAATCACGCAGTTGCTCTCTCACTCCTCCCCTTTCTTTCCCCCGCTCCTGGAGGGATGGGGAGGAGAATAATCGAAAGAATGTAACTCCCATGGGTTGAGGTAAGAACATTTTACTAACTAAGGTATAACATAAACCACTACTGTTACCACCAATAATAATAATGATAAGGGACATAACAAGGGAAGAGAATACAACCACTCACCACCCGCTGACAGATAATACCCAGCCTGACCCTGGCAGTGAAGTAGCCCTTCCGGGTAACTCCCAGTTTACATCCTGGGCATGACGTGCTGTGGTATGGAATACCTCTTTGGCTAGTTTGGGTCAGGTGTCCTGTCTCTGCTTCCTCCCAGCTTCCCCTCCTCCCTGGCAGAACATGAGCCTCAGAAAGTCCTTGGTCAGACTAAACATTTGAGCAGTAGTTAAAACATCGGTGTTATCAGCACTGTTCCCAGGCCAAAACTCGAAAACACAGCGCTGCACCAGCTACTAAGAAGGAGAAAAATGACTGCTACTGCTGAACCCAGGACAGTAGTAAAGAAAAATATGAGTCCCAGAGAGACAACAAGTGAAAAGACTTATATTTTTTTTTATTTTCTGTCTCTGTGTAAATTTGTTTTACAGTGAGGCAGCTCATTAGGAGCAAATCTTAATTCTTTTATGTTTATCAGGATTATTATGTTATTAGTAATTGAATGAGGCTTATATGAAATGATAGTGCTATGTCAATGGAAAGCAATATGAGATTGCAGCACTCACAAGCAGTAGTCTTTCTCTCATTCCTGCCTCATTTTAACACATGCAAGTGACATCACAAGACAAATTGTAAAGATTTTATGCTTCAATACTAGGTTAGATCAGAACATGTTAATTTATTTTAAATGACTGCTCAGGTGACAGATGTCTTCCAGATAGATTCCTCTCTGTGTGTACACCCCCTATCCCAGTGACATCACAGGTATGGGCTTGGCCCCTCATTCCAAACTTCGAATCAGCAAAAAAGTCTACTTTCGTAAGGCAAATAAACCAGAGTAGCCCTCAGCAGTTAGCCTGGATTATGGCACCTTGGCCACTTCTGATAACAGTGGCCATTTC